TTAATTGTTGTTAGTTCCAAGTCATTAACAGTTGCATTAGTAAAAACCATTTTTTTCTGAACATTAGTAGACACAAGCGCTCATATACACGCGCATACACTCATTTATGTGAACGCATACACGCACACACTACCCCTATGAGCACCTTTGAGAGACTGAGCCGACATATCATCTTAAGATTTACGAAGTCACCGTAGGCCCCTCGTCAACATTAGGACTTGATCTTGGTGGGCTGGGAATACCACTATCTCTCTAACCATCCAACCACATGTTGGTTGGTTCGCAAAACACCATTTTTGTTTTGGGATGGCGGGTTATTACCAACTGGAACATAGGTTTGTCCCCGGATGTTACCCAACCAACTATAAAAACGAGTTGGGCAGCACTAACCATCACCGATCATATCATATTTGTCTTCTGCCTCCTCGCGCTCACACCATCGTAACTGTTTCACTCCCTATGCTGCTCTCGGCTTCCCTGTCTTGGGCTCCTAGCGACCGCATGCACGGCTGCACGAGGGCAAGTCTACAAAACTAGGCCCATTACTAACCTACACCCGGTGAAGAGCGATAAGATTTTGGGGCGTGTCTCCTGACCACTGCTTGCTCGTCGATGTTAAACTACTTTCATGAGTTTGACTCAGACTTCGCTAAGATTGTCATGGCCAACATTGCCAGCACTACTGCCACCAACAAGGTCACCCTTCTTTGGTTCAAGTGAATTTTGGAAACATGCTAGTTCACAAAAATGGATGTGTGCATTGTATTGATGTAGAGAACAGAGATAACCTCCTTTCAGATGAAAAAAAACAATTAATCGACTATGACTAACTGCTCTTTATGCTATTTCCTAGAAGTTTATAAACAAATTCGTTCAAAACATGATTACTAAAGGGCAACCTGGTGCATGTAGCTCCCGCTTGCGCAGGGTCCAGGGAAGGGTCCGACCACTTTGGGTCTATAGTACGCAGCCTTTCCCTGCATTTCTGTAAGAGGCTGTTTCCAGGACTTGAACCCATGACCTCATGGTCACAAGGCAGCAGCTTTACCACTGCGCCAAGGCTCCCCTTCCTCAAAACATGATTACTAGTGTTGATAAAAAGGATGCGTAAATGGAGTCGGCTAATTAAGTTTCAGATAAGTATATTGAATTTATGCTTCAGCCAGCTGCTCCAAAAGTCTGAACTAACGAACAAAGATAGACAATATTATATTTCAACACTCTCCCTCACATCTATTTTTTTAGTCTTTATGTGTTCAGCGTAGGTCATAGAATCTTTTTTTTAATAGTGCGTCGAGAAGGTCTTAAACTTGAGACATCTTGACTCCGATACCATAACGAATTCATGTTACAGCTAGTTGCTACAAGAGTCCGAATTGACGAAGAAAAGCGGGCAATTCCACGGTCCCTATTTCTTCTATTTTCCCCTTCTCATTTTTTGGTATGTAATTACTGTAGTCAGGCAGAGAAACTCTATTTCTTCTGTTCTCCCCTTCTCTCTGTTATAATTCCACAGCCCTTGTGTTTTCTTCTCAAACGACTAGCTCTATTTTTGAAAGAGATGTACTTCCCTGTCATAGTCCCATGCATAAAAACTGCATCTTTCAGGCCCTCTCAAGGACCAGCATAACAAACATTCAGGAGGAACCAGGCGATTGGGTTTTGGAGACACCTCCTCAGCGTGCTTTCACGTGGTGGCGCGCTCTGGATTTGGGAGCCGGATCCCCTGACGTACGGCCACCTGACGTTGGGCCACTGACGCGTAGGTCCGGGTCCACACGTCAGCGAGTGCGCCGTACGTCAGAGGAGCTGCGTCCCTGGATTTGGTCACGGCACGACGGAGCCCGGCCGCCGGCTGCCTTCCGTCGACCGTTTAGTCGGTCGTTTCTCTGCTACCGCGTCTACATCTGGAATCAGATAACGATAAATTACCAATAGTATGCAGAATCTTGTCTTGGCTGTTGGTCGGACATTTGTATTCTTCATTCAAGCGTGGTTGATTGGTGGTTTCAGTCGTACACTCGAGAATAAAATACCTGCATCTATGATCAGTCTACGAAACGGGAGCCCGGATGTGGTCAGTTCACTAGTTCAGTATGCACCGGTACAATTAAGTCACCATTTCTATTAGGGTACCAGGTCACTTAATCTTGATCGCGTAAACATGGATACCGTGTCCATGATACGCTTCGGTTGAGTAAATTATAAAACATAAACATCCATTTGGTAGACAGCCGCCGGTACGTCACCGTGTCCAGGAGGAGCCGGAGCTAGCCGCCTCTTGCTCGAGTCTGCGTCAGCCAGTAAGAACAACTTAGGAGAATCGTCGAAAGAACAGTCTCCATAATCATTATAAAATGCATTATACAAAATCTTATATGCTTAAGAGAGTGATCCACGCTACTTTTAATTATCTCAATATGCGTGCTTTTACAACATCATTGTTATTGTGGTTGTTACGTCCACTAGCATTTTTTTAACATACGTCCACTAGCATCTCATATATGCATAAGAGCCCTCTACCATGCAACATGCATTAGTGTATTATGTGTGGTTTTAAAATACATTGCACAAATTGTGACATGCACTACAACTCACTATATATTTTTCCTAGCCATGCAACCATGCCACGTCAATTAGCCATGCGTGCAAGTTATATGTTATTTTTTTGCATTAGCATATCCATGTAGTGCTACCACATCATCGGTTCATGCAGGTAACTCATCGTTTTTTTCAATTAGATTTTGTGCTCTCATAGACATGGTACATATGTTAGATACTTGGAGCATACTTATATAGTTGTTCACTTTCTTTTTTATATAAATGACACTTTTCCTCAAATGCTAAATAGCTACCCCATCCGTTTCAAAATAAGTGTCGAGGAGTACAATCCGCTATCTATCTTTTCTAACCATGCAACCATGCCTTATAAGCAAGCCGTGCCTATAAGTTTTGAGCTACTTTTTTTTTGCAATAGTATATCCATGCATCACAACCATTCCCCATCATCGGTTCATGCATGTAAGTCATCAGTTAATTCTTATGCAATAAGTTGTGTGCTCTTATGGCCACGGTATATGTGTTGGGCGCTTGGATCACACTTATATAATTGATTCTTCACTTCTTTTTAGAAACAACACTCTTCTAACTGTAATCGTTTTTTTGCTTTTATACATCATTTTTAGCGTCCAGAGACAGCCTCTCTCGAGAGTCAGGTCCTATCTCGAAGAAGGCTCTCATCCTCCACAACCTTGACCACCACAAACAAGAGGGGAAAACCTTCTTCCTCCTAGAAGGGAGGCCAAGGAAGAAGGAGAAGGCGGGTGCTCTCTCCCCTCCCTTCCTACGCCGCCGGAACACCTCCGGAGGGACCACCATCACCGCCATTGCCTCCAACACTCATATACTTCCACATCGACATTGGAGAGTCCTAGAATAACTCACTGCACTTAGTCCAGTGAAGTGGGGCATGCTCAGAATTGAGGCATTTAAAACGAATGGCCAATTATTTTGCTTTTAGTCGGATATGTATAGAACTTTGAACATCCTATGCTTTTAATAGGAGTTGCATTTGTTTGCAAGTACTTAAATGTATGGACGGATTGTCACTGATTTTGAAAATTTTGACAGAAAGAAGAGAGCAGATAAGCAGCGAAAATTTGATTAACATCTTGGGCCGTCCATTTGGCGATTCCAGTTTAAGATGCCCTCTGTTCGAGCTTTGCTACGCCTACGTAAATATTGATATGTAACTTACGAACATGATGACCTGGCTTGATTTGGTTGGAAGGAAAAAAGAAAGCCTAGGCCCACCCCGTGAAATTCAGAGGGGGGAGGGGGTGTGATTGGTTGAGTAAATTCAGAATGTAGCTTTACATAATAAAGTTATGTAGGTGTAGCATTTTTGCCTCCATTTCGTAGAAATTTTAGTTAGCCTAGATTGGAGCTTTGCTACATTAACAGGCAATTACGGGGGCTTTACGGGGCTGGGCGCCCACCCCACCAGTTAGAGCATCTTCAACAGGCGCACAAAAACGGCTCTGCACGCTAAAATTCAGGTTTTATGGGCGTTGGATAGCTCCAGCAGAAACTGTAAAATAGTGCATGCAAAAAAAAGGTTTGAGCACGCACTAAAAAGCGCTATCAGAAGCTACAAATTTGGGGCGCTGGATTGCGCACTTCACAATTTGCACTGCGTGTTTTTTGGGCGCGCGGTTTTTGGTATCTGCTAAACCAATGTTGGGTTCGACGTGCTAAAAGTATTACAGTGGCACGCAGCGCGCGAAACGTTTATGCTTCTATTGGAGACGCTCTTATATTTCAGGGGAGAATGCTATTTAGCTCAATTAAAAAAAACAAGTCAACTGATCCTCAAAGTCCCGTTGCTTTAGTCCATGTGTTCACCATTTTTGCCTAGATTGTCAAGAGCACGTTCTGGAAACAAAAAGTCTACCACCCTCCAGGGGTTTCTTTCACCGTACGTATAAATTAATTCCAATTCACCTAGGTTAATTGTTAGGCCTCCTTTGATTCATAGGATAAAAATATTATAGGAATAGAAAAATCATAGAAAATGAGATGACATGTATCTTAATTTTTAAAGATAAAGAGATATTATTTGATGCATAGGATAGGAATTTTTTTATTGAGTCTTAACTAATGTTTCTTTCTTTTAAAATATGAAGGATTGATTCCTATCCTACATATGAATAGGAATCCATTCCTACGAAACAAAGGGCTTCAAAAAAAAATTCCTATGCAAATCTTATCCTATAGAAATCCTATAAGATTTCCTACAAACCAAAAACCAAAGGAGGCCTCAACAGTAAGTCACATGTACGTAGTCACCAACACTACACCCGTACACGAGCACCGACCGACTGACCGATCGTAGCTGCCGGCCGTGAAGGCATAGATGACGACGACGCCTTATAAATTCGCACCCAAACACATGCTTCCCTCCATGCAAGAGATTAGCTCCCTCCTTCCATACTCCAACAATGGAGCTCGTAGCACTGCCGTTGCTCGGTTTGCTGGTCTTCTTACTCGTCAACCTCGTCGTGAAGAGGATGTACGTGCACGCTTCGCCGGCGCCACGCAAGCGGCTGCCGCCCGGGCCATGGCAGCTGCCGCTCGTCGGCAGCCTCCACCACGTCCTGCTGTCGCGCCACGGCGCCCTGCCGCACCGGGCCCTGAGGGAGCTCGCGGGCAGGCACGGCCCGCTCATGCTGCTCCGCTTCGGCGCCGTGCCCACGCTGGTCGTCTCCTCCGCCAAGGCCGCCAGGGAGGTCCTCAAGACGCACGACGCCGCCTTCGCCAGCCGCCACATGACGCCCATGCTGGCCGTCTTCACCCGCGGCGGGCAGGACGTCCTCTTCTCCCCCTACGGCGACCTCTGGCGCCAGCTCCGCCGGGTGTGCGTGCTCGAGCTCCTCAGCGCGCGCCGCGTCCAGTCCTTCCGCCACATCCGCGAGGAGGAGGCCGGCGGCCTGCTCCGCTCCGTCGCCGACGAGTGCGCTCGCTCTCGCTCCGACAACGGCGCCGTCGTGGAGATCGGCGAGCGGCTGGCACGCGTGGTGAACGACGTCGTGGTGCGGTCGGCCGTCGGCAGCCGGTGCGCGCGGCGCGAGGAGTTCCTGCACGACCTCGACGAGACCGCGAGGCTGACGGCCGGCAACAGCCTGTCCGACCTGTTCCCGTCGTCGGCGCTGGCGCGCTGGATCGGCAGCGGGCTTCGCGAGGCCGAGCAGTGCAACCGCAACGCGCGCGACATCCTGAGCGACATCATCCGCGAGCGCGCCGAGGGCGGCCAAGGCAGCGGCGGCGACGGCGAGGACGACCTGCTCGGCGTGCTGCTGAGGGTGCAGAAGGACGGCGGCGCCCTCACCACGGACATCATCATCACCGTCGTCCTGGTTACCACTTACCACTCCCCTTTTCTCATTTCAAAGTTGATCGAAGCACGTCACGCTCTCTTAGTACCATCGTCTACTAATTCCAGGAGGTTTTTGCGGCCGGGAGCGAGACGTCGGCCACGACGCTGGAATGGGCCATGTCGGAGCTGGTGAAGGAGCCGCGCCTCCTCCGCAAGGCGCAGGCCGAGGTCCGGGAGGCGTTCAGAGGCCAGCAGAAGCTGACCGAGGGCGACATGGGGAAGCTGAGCTACCTCCACCTGGTGATCAAGGAGACGCTGCGGCTGCACACGCCGGTGCCGTTCCTGCTGCCCCGGCGGTGCCGGGAGGCGTGCGAGGTGATGGGCTACGACGTCCCCGAGGGGACCAGGGTGCTGGTGAACGCGTGGGCCATGGCCCGGGACGGCGCCTACTGGGAAGACGCCGAGGTGTTCAGGCCGGAGAGGTTCGAGGAGGAGAGCGCCGCCGCCGCAGTGGACTTCAGGGGCGGCGACTTCGAGTTCATCCCCTTCGGCGCCGGCAGGAGGATGTGCCCCGGCATAGCGCTCGGCCTGGCCAACATGGAGCTGGTGCTCGCGGGCCTCCTCTACCACTTCGACTGGGAGCTCCCCGACGGCGGGAGGCCGGAGGAGCTCGACATGTCGGAGGCGTTCGGCCTGGCCATACGGAGGAAGTCCAAGCTCGTGCTGCGCGCGACGCAACGTATTCCAGTCGCTAATTGATTGTGATGGAATCGTATGTAGTAGCACATGTGTTGGCTAGAGAGGCTCTTCATCTTAATCAGATATGAACTCGCCTACTTATAATGAATAAAGAGCCTCCAAGGCGTTTTCTCAACAAAAAATGCAGATGCTCAGCTTCTCGGACATCCTCCTAGTTTTTTTTTTGAAATAGACCAAGAACTTTATTAATTAGAGATAATAGTTACATCGTCCGTAAGAAAAGATACAATTTCATCATGGGCTCCTCAAAATAGTCCATTGTCACTAAAACTTTCGCTAGTCTAGCTATTTCATGCGCCACCTCATTTGCTCCCCTATTACAATGCTCAAACCTAGTAAAAGGAAAATCACAATCCAAAAAATAGCAATCATCGAAAACCTAGTGAAAGGACATCCTCCTAGTTTGTTGTGCCGAAGCCATCCAAAACAACTTGAGCTTAAAAATGTTCATATATTCTATAAATTGAAAATATAATATTAAAAGTACAGGAAAAATAAAAGGAAACAGTAAAAACAGAATTAATGAAAGAAAGAAGGAGAAAAAAAGGAAAACGGGAACCTAATAGGCCGGCGCGGCGCGTGGGCTATCCGGGCCGGTCGGCCGAAGATAACATTTTTTCAGGATATTTTCGCAGTGGACTGCTGGACTGTCCGGCCCAGGAAAGCGCGGCCGACGACTCAGCTGCCAAATCCAGCTCCTCCACACTCTCTCTCTTCCCCGTGCACCGCACCCTATCCTCCCTCTCCCCTCCCACCGCTCCATCTCACTCCGCCGGGGCTACTCCCGCCCCCGACCACCGCACTGCCAAGCCCAGCGGCGCTCCACCACACTGTGCGCCCCGCCATGGCGGCCGCCGCCGCGGCGCTCGCGAGCTCGCCCCTCGTCCACCTCACCGCCGCGGCCCGCCTCCGCCTCCGCCTCCCCAGGCCCAGGCCCTCCGTGGCCTCCTCGCGATGGGGGTGCCCGCGAGGCGCCTACCTGGTGGACTGGAGGCCCCTGAGGCGGTGCGACCGGATGCGGCGCTTCTCCGTCGACGAGGGCGGCGGAGGCGGGGAGGACGGGGAGAAGCGGGGCGAGGAGGAGGCGGCAGCGCCCGTGGAAGCCAAGGTGGGGGCCGCGGAGGAGCTGGGCTCGGAGCGGAGCCGCTCGGGGAGCTTCTCTTCCTCGTCGTCGCCGTCCTCTGCGGTATGAGGAACTAAGCCATTGGCCATTTCGTGTGCTGAACATAGTTGGACTGAACAGCTTGCTGATTTAGGAGTATTTTTCTAGCCCATTCTGCTGGACTGAGAGATAGAAGTGTGTGCAATTAGAGGCAGGATTGGGTCATTGGATGCACAATTAGTGCTATCATTCATTAACTCATTTTTTTGAAAGGGGAATCGAATTCCTGAATGATCCTTGTGATCAGTGATTATAGATTTATAGTGTAGTGTTAGTATGACTACTATACTAGTGAAGTAATTAATCCCTTAAATCAGATATGTACGACATTTTAGAAAGCATCCAGTGTAGCCAAACTTCTATAACTTGGACCATGATGGCATAGAAGACTATTTAGTTTGATTATATGGATATTGTTAGAGTTGCCACACAAAAAAAAAACTCAGATCATAATACATCTACAGTTGCAGCTACCACCCTAAACCCTAAACCCTGGCCGAATAGTGCTTGCGGCGTTGCCTCGTGGTGCTGGCATGTAACATGCCTGCTGCTATCAAGGCAACCTCGCTCACACTGTTGGCCTGGATGCTGCTTATGATAAAGGCTCGTGGCCCTATTGGCTGCCTCGACCCGACCCAAAGTTCTCCGAACTGAGAACAACCGGAACAAGTGTTGCCTCTACCTCTCCACAGTTACGTGGTAGGATACGCAACTCTCTGCGCCAATCCTCAGGGAGGATGAGCTATGCCCGCTCAACAGCGACAACCGGCCTGACTGTTGCCTTTGCGTTTCCATGCAAGTGGAAGGCTAAGACGACTCCTGACGCTGGACGTCACCGAGGACATGCTACCTGGTTGATCCTGCCAGTAGTTATATGCTTGTCTCAAAGATTAAGCCATGCATGTGCAAGTATGAAATGGTCATAAAAAGGAAGTAATGGTCAAATTTACATGTTGAGACTACAGTGATATTCAAAACGTCCTATGTTCTTGAGCAGAGGCACTATCTTAATGTTGATATGGCAGACGCGACATTCAGTTGCCAAAAATGAAGGGATGTTGCCACATTGTGCTTGTTCGTGTTTCCAAAGCCTAGCGCTATGATATTTAGTATCCTTCATTGGATACTTAGGTACTCATGTCAGGTTGTTAGATGAAATTCTACCTAAATGATGAATCCCATGCTGTCTCTGCTATACTCACTAATGACTGCATCATATCACTACAGCTATTAGTTCTCTATTCTATTATGACTGCAAGTTCCAAGTAAAGTGAATACCGCCATAGCAGTTTAAACCTGTTAGAACTTACTCACCAAATTTCAGAATTCTTTGAGTAAGCTTGAATAATTTCCTTTTCTTAAGAAATAGAGAAAAACATGATATGTACTCCCGTCGTTCCAACATTTCTTAATAAGGCGTACACCACGACAAGTATTTTGAAACCACGACAAATATTTGAACTAAAACCACGACAAGTATTTTGAAACGGAGGAAGTACTTCTTAATAAGGCGTACACCAACATTTCTTTTCACTTGTAATGCATATTTGTTTATTATGAACATGGCTGATTCTTTTCTCAAACATATTTTATAACATATCCATTTGCTCAGACTCCTGGTGTATCAAGCGAGCCTCCTCTTTTGAGCTTCAGTGTGGATAATATCGATACAGTTAAGTTATTGGAACTCCTAGGCCCAGAAAAGGTTGATCAAGCTGATGTCAAGGCCATCAAGGAAAAGTTTTTTGGCTACACAACATTCTGGTTGACAAGAGAAGAACCTTTTGGTGATCTTGGGGAAGGAGTCCTTTTTGTTGGGAATCTCCGAGGGGACAGAGAAGAAATCTTTGGAAAACTTCAACGGCAGCTACGTGAACTTACAGGTGACAAATACAATCTTTTCATGGTGGAAGAGCCCAATTCAGAAGAGGATGACCCACGCGGGGGGCCACGTGTTAGTTTTGGTTTGCTCAGAAGAGAAGTTTCTGAGCCTGGACCTACTACCCTGTGGCAATACGTTATTTCGCTGTTACTTTTCCTTCTCACTGTGTTCTCCTGTATTGAGCTAGGAATTGCATCAAAGGTATATCGGCCTAACCCATTATGTGATACCAGAGCTTAATGCCCTTCTATGCTATGTTGCTAATTCATTTTGCCTGTGCAGATAAGCAGTCTTCCACCAGACATTGTTTCATATTTCACTGATCCAAATGCTACTGGACCCCCACCTGACATGCAACTTTTACTTCCATTTGTGGAGTCAGCTCTACCAGTGGCTTATGGCGTCTTGGCTATCCAACTATTTCATGTAAATCACATCAAAGTTCTGCTGAGCATTTATTTTTCTTCTGGTCTTTTAGCTCTTGTTTGAGCAATAGTACTCCTTCCGTTTCTTTTTACTCCGCAATAAGATTTGTCTTAAGTCAAACTTCATAAAGGTTGACCAAATTTATATTATAAAATATCAACGTCTACAATAGTAAAGGTATACAATATGAAATTTAATTCCATGATGCATCTAATGATATTAATTTGGTATTGTGGATGTTGATGTCTTTTCCTATAAACTTGGTCAAACTTTACGAAGTTTGACTTAAGACAAATCTTATATGTGGAGTAAAAAGAAATGGAGGGAGTACATCTCTTGCACCAGTTCAAGCTTTCAAGAAATGCAATGGAAATTATCATTGTTAACCTTTTCTGCAATGCTCCAGTTGGTTACAAAAGACACCCAGAATTCAGTTGTGTTCACGTTTTTTTTGCTGCCATATGAAGTGTGGGCCTAGGGGCAAAGTGCATCTTCTTATTGTATTTCCTTTGTTAGAGTTATTGCTAAACTCGTTCCAGCATTAACATAACATAATTGCTACGAACAGGTTTGTGTAAAGACTCAAATGTTAATAGTTGCTCTATCCTTTTTTTGTTGTTGAGGAATTCCTCTATCCTTTATGACTCGGTACAGTTGGTAGTTTAAAAAATAAAGTATTCGATCGATTAGCTCTGCTCCAAGCTTTTCAACGTTGGCATCAACTAGCAGACAATGGTATCAGCGGATCCTTTAATTAAGTAGTGATGCATTTAGCGGTTTGAGCTGTTATTCATGAAGCCCCTCTGTTTGTAATTGTTTTGACCTGATCTACCATGTTACATTATGATGCAGGAAGTTGGACACTTTTTGGCAGCATACCCAAAGAATGTGAAACTGGGCATTCCTTTCTTCATTCCGAACTTTACTCTTGGAACTTTTGGTTCAATTACTCAGGTTAGTGTCT